TTTCTTTCTTTTTCTTTAATTTTAGTTAAATTTAAACTTCTATTTCTACTTCTTCAACAATTTCTCTTTCTATTTTTATTTTTGCTTCTATTTCTTTTATATAATTAACTTTACAATTTCATCTACTACATATTAAGTAGTCAAAAGAAACTAATACTATTTTTTTAATTTGTAAAATTATTTTAAAGTATTATAAATCTTAAAAAAATTCAAAAAACATTTTTTGCTATTTTAGTTTAAAATGTTAATATAAAATATGATATTAATTTTTTTGATATACAATGTTAAAGAAAATTTAGTTCTCTAATTATTGAATATAATATAAGTAAAATAATAAAAATAATAATTAAAAAAATATATTATATATAATATTTTATTTTTATTTTTATTTAGAATTTAAAATGTTAAGAATTAGAAAATTTTTTTAAAAAAGTGTAAACTTGAGAATATTATGAAATTTTTAATATCTGATTTTTAAAACTTATCTTATCATTATAAATATAAAGAATTTTATATTTATATTTTAATAAAATTTTTAATTTTATAATATGTTTTTAATAATATATATATATTTTTAGGTAATAAATATAATATAGGATTAAACATATTTATACTTAAAGAAATTTTTAAGAGAATATAATAATATTTTTATTATTAAAATTTAATTATAATTTTTTTTACTTTGCTAATTTTTTTTATAGAAAAAGGAAAAAAGTAAGTAAAAGTTTCTGCTAAAAAAAATAATAAATATATATTTTTTTAAAAGTTTTGATATTTGACAAATTTATATTTAGTAAAAACTTTATTTTTTTTAGTAATAGCAAAATTATTAGCTCAAAATTGTAAATAAATTTATATTAGTAATAACTTTATTTTCTTTTTATATAACTAATAAAACTATCAAATTAAAAAGGTATATACAAATTTTCTTTAAAAGTTTTAATATTTTGACAAATTTATATTTAGTAATAACTTAAGTCATCAGCTTAAAATTATAAACACAAATATTTTTTAAAGTTTTGCTAATAATTTTATTTATTTTTAATAATAATTTTGATAAATTTATATTTATTAATTATTTTTATTCTCTTTTTATTAGAAAAATTTTTTATTTTATTTTTTTTCTATTTTTTCTTATTTTTTTACTTTTTTTTTTCAAATATTTTTTTTATATTTTTTTATACTTTTTTCTTTTTTATGTCTTAAGGAATAGAATTCTAAACATTTTAAGTTTATATATTTATTTTAAATAAGACCTAGTTTGTACTAAAAATATTAGTTAGAAAATCAAATTTTTTAGATTATTAAGGTACTGACATTCTCATTGTGCAACTTAAATATTATTTATAATAATAATAGCAAATAAGTACAAATTTTATAAATTATAGCAAATCTATTAATTTTTTTGTTTTTAGTATAAATCAATCATAAAAAATATTAATTTGTTAAAAAATATATAATTTCATTGTAAAAGTCTTATAATTTCAATATAAGTTTTATTATTATTATTAATTAATAATTTTTTATACATTATTTTTATAAAAAATACTAAAAAATAATTTTTTATAAAATATAAGAAAATGTGATACAAAATTTTAAAAACATATATAAACTTATTTATAATAATAAAAAAATATATGCAAATTTTTATAAGACTTATTTGTTAATAATAAAATAACTTTATAATAATAAACCTTTTAAAAATTAATTTAATTGTTTTAAATTCTTGAGATATTTATTTTTTTTCTTTATTTATTTAAATTTATTTGAGTATTTATTTAAATTTAAATTTTATTTAAATTTATACATTATTTGATATATATTCATTTTTTTTTATTTTTAATTAAGTCAATAAAATTTTTATACTTTCTGATTTAAAATTCAATTTATAAATAAGCATTTAGAATAATTTTATGTAAGATATATAACACATATTTTATTATTTTGTAAAATTTCTTATTTTATTTAAGTTTTTTTCAAGTTAATGAACAGTTTAGAGCTAAATTTTACTACTACTTAATTGATTAAGTATTTCAGTTTGTCTAATTGATAATTGGATAATAATATATATAAATTTTTATCAAAGCATAATAATGAACTATGTTATAAAGATAATTTTAAAAAATATAATTTAAAAATTAATCTTATTATATTTTTTAAATAGTATAAATTTAAGTTTAAATATTATAAATTGGATATTAGTTTTTATTTTATAATTAATTATAATACAATTTTAAGTAGTATCAATTAAAGTTATATAGACTTATTTATTTTTAAGAGAATTTATTAAATAGAACAGATATAAAAATAAATTTATTAATTCTTTATATAATAAAGAAAATAAAGAATTAAAGCTAATTTACTGTAATTTAATATTTAATAAAACTATAACTTGATAATTTTATTTTTTAAATATTTTATTTATTTAATAAATACTTGTAATAATAATTTTACATCATTTTTTTTTTTAATTAAATTTATAAATTCATTTTTTCTATAAGTATAAAATAGTTAATAAAAGTTTTTCTTTATATTTATCTTTATGAATTAGATTTTATTTTAAAAACAACAAATTAAAAATAATAAAGAAAAATTAAAATATATTATAATATTTATATTTATAGTTATTTTGTATTTTTTATGAACTTTTACTTTGTAACATTTTTTAATTTTAAGTATTAGCTAGTTATAACTAAATTTCACTATTACTATATAAAGAATCTTTTCTTAATTAATAATAAGCAATTAATTAAATTTATATACTTTTTTAGCAACTATAATAATTTTATAAAATGATAAAATTGTAGAGTAGAAAAGAAACTGATATTTTTATTATTTCATAAATATTTATAATTTGATATTAAATGATAATGATCAGTCATATTTGTTTAAATATCAAAAGTATTATAAAAAAAGATATTAGAAAGCTAGCATTAATAGATGGTAATTGATACTTAAACATTATTAATTAGAATTAATTCTTATAAATATTAAGATAAATGAAAAAAAAAATGTTACTAGCTATCTAAGTAGCCAATCTTTGAAAATACCAATATCTTTATGTCTAGAATATATAATAAATAATAAATCAAATAGAATTTTAAAATTACTATCACATCCTATTTAATCTTTTCTTATCAGAAGTGACATTTATGAATGATATATGTTAAATAAAATATAAAAAGAACGACACTGATCTAATGATTTTATCTATTACTTCCTATCATTTAAAATTTCTAATATTGAATATATATAATGTATGAATATGGATCCTATGTATCTACATAAAAAAAATGAAGGAATATTATTTCAATTTAATAAATCAATTGAATAAAGTACAAATCAGCCAGATCTAATAATTAATGCTATTCAACGCTTATCTAGTTGAGAGTTTTAACAATCTATTTTCACATCAATGAGTTATAAGAACTCCTCAGAATTCTAATTCGAACTATATATTGAAAAGCTATTTTCTAAACCTTAAGCTTTTCTTTCATCCCTTAAATCACGATCATCTTGTAGATAAATTTTGAATATGTATATTCAATGATTAAATTATTTTTATCAAATTTGAAACATTTGACTTCATTGAACTTAGGCAATAATATTTATTTAAACAGGCATCTTTATTTATATAAAATAATAAATTACAATTACAGCTTACAGCATATATTTTTTTTTCCACTATATATTTATGTTAAAATTTTTCTAATTGTAACAAAATCATTAATATGTGAAAGTTTATTGTTTGTATATGATACTATATATTATATCAATTAATATATTTACAAGTAATTGACTAAATCCTAACATATGTCATATGATAAACGATACAGAGAAAAAAAAAAATATATTTTTAACGACTTATACTATTATAGCTATTATTATATTATTTACCTTCATCATTAAAGAAATTTTCAATGTATGATTCATCGTCATTTGAAGAAATTTCCAATGTGTTTCTCATTGGATTCTTCACATTTTAAAAATATCTCCCCGTCTTTGCTATAAAAATAAAAAAAATGTTTTAAAAATTAGAGTATATATAGAATAAATAAAATAAATTAAAAATTAAACTTACAGTTACTTTCTTGTTCCAAGAAAATATTGTGCGAATTTATTTCCATTGTCCGCTGATTCTTTCTTTTCTCCTTTCTCTTTTCATAAAAAAAAACCTCCCAATTTGTGTTGGTGATTGATACTTCACCATCTCTGATAATGACGTCACAATCTATTGTTTCATCAAACATTTAGACGGCTATTTTCAAAGTTATTGTAAAAATTTTGGTTCTTTAATACCACCAGCTTGGGTATTTATAAGAGTTATTGTTTGTTTTTTTATTTTTATAATATTATAATAGATTTTTGCCAACTTCTGAAGAAATATCTAGATAAAAAGATTTTTGCTAGTTTTTGGAGGAAGTTTTCCAAGAAATTGTCTAGATATGAAATATTTGAAACAATTATATATAATATTATAATAGATTTTTACAAGTTTTTGGAGGAATTTCCAAAATATAAAAGTAAAAAAAAATTGTACGTGTATCGTTAAACAATTTTCTAAGCCACTAGCCATTCATAGATCGTTGATTATTGTTATTTTAAATAATTAAAACTAGATGAGGCGAGCCATTTTTTTGTGTGCGGCGACTTCGTCGCCACTAAGTGGGAGGCTGAAGCTTGCTTGACGCTTGAGCTAAAGATCTTGTCTTATTTGGGAGAATCAGAGAGAAAATTTTTTTCTTATTAGTAAAGTAAATAGATGAAATAATACGAGGAGTAATTGTCTGTTTTTTAATGTTAAATTTTTAGGTAGTTTTATTTTATTTTATTTTTATTATTATGTTATTTGATAAGATATGATGATGTGAGTTATTCTAGAAAAAGAAAATAAAAGGAAGATAGATGAAATAAAGTTTTGGACTTTAGTCTGGAAGTTTTTACGGTCGTGTTGTTAATTGCTCAAGTGGTTTATGCTTGTGTGTTGGTTATATGTTAGTTTAGAGTGGTCTGGATAGAGGTAGTGGTTCAGATGCTTTGTGCTCTAACCTTTCATATTCTTTTATCGTGGCGTTGTCTACAGTGAATGCTTCTCTGGTTAGTAATCTTATTTTTATATTGTTCCAGTTGTTGCATCTGCTCAGTGCTACGTACGCTTGTCCTTTCTCAAACATTTGTGAGTCTAGGTTCAATGATACGTCGGGTAGGGTTAATCCTTAGGTTTTATGGACTGTGATGGCGAACGCGTTGATCAGCGGGTATTGTGTTCTACTTGCGGGAGCTCCATTTATTATGAATGATGAGGTATGTTTTTTTACCGCAATGTCTACTATTCTGCCTTGGACGCAGAATGCGCATCTTATTTCTTGTAATTCAACGTTTATATCAGTGATTATTCTGATTATTCCATTAAATATCTTGTGTTTGTATTCAGAATTATTTAGAAATATAACTCTAGTGCCTATCTGTAGTTGTACCGTTTTTGGTAGGTTTGTTTTTTGTTTTATTAATCTGTCAAGATGGTTGTTATCATTTGTCTTTTGATTTATGATATCAATAGCATTTGAGATTATATAGGTGTTTTCTTTGATTGGCAACATGTTGCATATTGTTTAGTTAATTTTTTCTGCCATTTCTTTATATCTGACTATGTGTGTTATATTTATGAGTTTATCTAGGTTGTCGGCTGATGCATTTATTGTTTGGTTTAGCTTTGTCTGTAAGTTATTCCAGGTAGAGGGTCTATTTTTCCTAATCTAATATTTTGAAGTAGTTTGTAATAGGTCAGGTCTTAGTTTTGTCTTTGTAGTTTGCGTAGGAATAGGGGGTAGAATATCTTCCATATTGGGGATCTGAATACGGGTAGATTATCAATCAGGGGGAGTTGTGCAAGGTCTCCGGTTACTATTATATTGGTTCCTCCAAATGGTTCAGGTTATGGTGTATGTAAGAGAATGTTTGGGAGATATATGTTAATAGGTTTGATGAAACTATGGATATTTCGTCAATTATTATTGAGTCTATGTTCTTGATTTCTTGGTAGAGTGATAGGTCTGAGAATGCTAGAGTTTAGTATGATGATCTGTTAGAGTGAATTTTTAGTGATGAATGTATAGTATGGCCCCTATGTTTTGAGCTGCTCATGTTAGGGCCATTAGGAGATATTTTTTGTTTCAGGTTGTTAGTTCGTTAATTATAAGGTTTATGATATAGGATTTCCCTGTTCCTGCTGATCCAGTGATGAAGAAGTAGGGGTAGTATTGGCCGTCTCTTAGGCCCATGTAGTTTTTTATGGTTTGCATGCAATAATATTAAGAGGTGAGAAGTTGGGTCATGATGTTGGTTGGAAGGATTGGTGGAAGTATTTTGATTGATTTGATCTGAGAACAGATTATCTTTTGGATATCTTGTGATAGTATTTGTTGTAATGGGGAAAGTAGTTCTTCAATTAGTGAGTTGAATTGTTCTATCATGTTAATTGTTTGTAGGTGTTGGGATCTTTGGTTTTGTTCTGCAGTTTCAAAGAATCTTTCAGGAAACCTTGCCATGAAGTGGTTTCTATAGGTGGTATAGTTTCCTTTTAGGTCATCTTCTGAATGGGATGGTATCAGGAGGAGAAGTTGTTGATAGAAGTATAGTTCGTCGTGTTCTATAGTTAAGTGACAGATTCGTGTGAGTATAGGTGTATTTCTTTTGATGATGTGGTTGCCTAAATTATCAAGATAAGTATTTCTTCTTGTTGGGTTATTGGGCGTGTTTTGTATGTTATATTTTTCGTGGTATTCTCTGTAGGTAATGTTATTAAATATTTCATTGTTAGGTCTATGGAAATATTTTTCAATACGATCTTTCCAGTAGGGGTCTTCATCATCGGGATCTATTAGAGATAGAGGTAGAATGGCTTTGGAATGTGTTGAAGGAGGTTCAGTAATGAGGTATATTACTTGAGTGGAGGAATTACATATTTTTTCGCTAAGTAATAGGAACATTAGTTCTATAGAGCCTAGTCTTCTTGCATGGATGTACTCGCGGTATAGATCACCTTCACGAATGTTAAATAGGTGTGATAGTTCAGCTTTTGCGATGTATTTGGTAATGTATTGTGCTAAACCTTTGTCTGTTACATACTGGATGTTCATATGGACCTTCCATATAAGTAGAGTGGATGTGTGATAAGGTACGACTCATCTGTCCCGCTGGTTAATACAACGGTATGTATAACAGAAGGATTCATTATCGTAATATGTACGTGAGGAGTATGGTCTTGGGAAACCCTTTTATATCTTTCTCTAGAAGGTGCTGGTTCATTGCATTTTGCATTGCAGGTATGGATCTGATAATTCATTACTAATTGATATAATTCAGATTCGAGATTGGGGTCAGGAATATCTCATCTAATAGTATTTTTATTGATCATTTCTTCTATAGACTTAGTAGTCCAGTAAACTCCATAGGTGTGAGCTGCTCCCTGTTTTGGAATTCGACTCTCTCAAAGAAATGGTTATAGGTTTGCCATCCACTTATTTCAGGATCTTTTCAGATTAGGTTTTTGAGAGATTGTAGTCTGTGAATAAAATGTAGGGTGGTATGTAAGGGCGGTTTGTTGGAATTGTGTCGTGATTATCAGTTTTATTTAATATGTTATGAAGATTAGTCCATGATCCTTTAGCCATTGTTAGGGTAATAAATAATGTGGGTAATTGTAATCTTGTTATCATACTATTTAGGTGCATTGTCTTCCTGTGAAAGTATGTATCACCAGTTCTAATAAAAGTAGGTAATGGAGTGGTTTTATTTTCGTTATATGTATATTTTCCGGTATATGAACTTCTTTCAATTATATCAATGGCAGTAGAGGGTGGTGAATGGTATCAGCATTTTTTGACGTAAAAGACGCTGATTATTTTGATAATTTCGTAACTTTTCTAGTTGTAGATATGATCACGCCGGCCAATAATGATGTAATCTAAATCGGTAGTCTATATTAAATAACCTATGTTTAATATAATTACCATAGGTGTCTATTCTTGGTTATCGATTAGTCAAGTTGGTAACTATCTCTTGATAATGGCCGTGGCCATCAGGAAATAGGTCGGGGAATAACATAGCCTCAAGATTTGGATCATTAGTTGATATTGGTATAGAACCTGTTTCATCATTTCGATGAAATCCTGCTATTAATCTTGAGTAGTGCGCATCTTCGTTATGGATTTCATCTGGGAAATTTAGGTGATGAATGATTATATCACCGGTCTGAAGAGGTGGAACTTCATCATCTTCAGGAATATGGGTTGCAGTTGAAAAAGTTTGAATATTGTCTAGATTTGAAAATGATCTTGAGTAGTTTGAGATGTAAGGATTATTATTATGTAACCAATTAGCAGCGTTTGGAAGTGAGATATTGAACCAATTGTGATTTTGATTATTAGGATTTGATCTATAATCTTCTAAGAAAGCACCTAACATTCCGGAATATAATACTAATGATCTGTAATTTTTTGAGTATCCCATAATGCCAACAAAGGATCGATATGTTGTAAAGTTGTTTGTACCAGAAGTTCTTCCTAGTGATGAATGTAGAAATATGGGGAAGAGGTATTTTCTTTTTCACAAAGATACGAATTCGATCTCTGAAGGTATGGGATGTAAGTAGGAGGGATAATTTCTGGATGGATTTTTATAGCAGGTACTATAAATAGGTATTCTATTGCTAGGAGGATTTGGATTGAAGGTAAAGGAGAGATTCGGATAAGCTCTAATTAGTGGGTAAGTGAAGTTATCATTTTTATTAATCTATTTTGATTTTTCTGGATATATCATTCGTCCACAATATGAACATGATAAGCATGGATATTGAGCAAGAATGTAGAGTTCAAATTTATCTTTTAATATTTTAAATTTTTCAGATGGGATCCAAGGAGGAAATATATAAGGTAGTTGAGTTATTTACGAATATGAGTTATCTGATTGGTTTTCAGTAGGGTTAGACGATAAATCAATGATTAAAGATGATCCCCATAATTATTTTCAAATTTCAATTGAGTTGCAACTTAATTGCACCATAAGGAAATTTAATTACGTCACAAGTTGCAACTCAATTGCACCATTTTTTTTAATTGCGGTAACCATCTTTATCAATGATAGTTTCATTTTCTTGTAATTGTTCTATTTCTAAAACTCGAAATACGTGAGATGACATTTTTTTAAAGGATTAATA